TTTTATCAGAGAAGACGATGTGGTCTGATCAAAGATCCTTCTGGCTCGAAGGACCAAAAAGATTCTTTTTCTTATTCGAATTCTCAGAAGAATGTGACAAGAAATGCAGGGGAATTGTTTGACATTCCTGCGCTAACAGAGGGATTCCCTCGCTGTTCCAATATCGAGGAATTCTCTACGTCTCGGCGTTGTTTCATCCGTAAACCACTCGGTTGCGCGGAGTCCGCAGGATGTTTTCCCTGGGTTTCATTTCGCTCCGCGTCGTACGTAAGCTACCCTTTATTGGGAAGCTTCGCTTCTGCCTTTAGGACGCGCGTTTAAGACCGCAGGGAATGCTTCTGGGACACTTCTCTCCCGTTCGCCATCGCTCTTCTTTACCTCTCGGAACTTGCCCGCGATTTTTCAGAGAATTCGCGAACGCGGTGAAGTGGCTGCCGACGAAGAGCAACACGGAGTTCTTCTCGACGTCGAGCGACGGGAGCGCGATGTTGTGGGACACGCGGCAGCTTCGGCAACCGGTCGAGACCATCACGTTCGACTTCGAGCATCCGAACGAGCCGGACGTGGACCGAGCGATCGGCGTCTCCTGCCTCAACTTCGGCCCGATGGTCGGCACCAAGTTCATGTTCGGTCTGGAGAACGGTGTCGTCGTTACTGGCTCGAGGAAAGCGCGGACCAACGCCGAGAAACTGTCGGTCAGGTTCAACGCTCACTTCGGCGAGGTGAAGTCCGTCGATCGGAACGTCTTCAATCCGCTGGTGTTTGTGACGATCGGCGATTGGAGAGCTCGCGTCTGGGTGGAGGACACCAGAGAAGACTGTCTGGTTTCCACGCCGTATGTTAGTTCTTCCTGTGATATTCACTAACCCTGTACAGGGTGGCGAGAGAAGTTTGTCCATGGCTGTCATAGATGAAAATTGACTTTGACCTTGAATTTCAAGCTCTTCTTCTTTTTCCACATCACGAAGATGAAACTTTTTCTCAAAAACTGTTCTCTTGAAAAATGGCGAACAAAGTTTCAATCGTTTCACGCTGCGGACGCGTGCGTCTTAACAGCGACTTTAAGATTCTGGACGCGCGGGTAGTATTTACATTTCGAATAATATTAACAGTTAGTTTTATCATTTGATTACTTCGATGCTATGACGAATCAAATGCTAGTGAGAAGGTCACTACGAAAGTCACAAGTCAAATAGACAAGCAGAACCATAAAGTCGCTGTTAGGACGCACGAGTCTGGGACTTGTGGTTGATAAGAATGCAATACAAAAAGAAATGTTTGAAATTCAAGGTCAAGGTCAGTTTTGCAACAGATTCTTTACATGTATTTCCATCAAATCGAAGGTGTAGAATTCATCCGATATGATAGCCATGAACAAACTTTTCCTTCCACCCTGTATAATCCCCGACGTTAGATAAGCGATATTCGTTCTCTTGGTCGAATTCGACCTGCGTAATCGTTTCGACCTCGCAGATTCTTGCGAGAGTATCCAACGGGCGGCTGTTGGAACAAGGCGAGATTCTCTGTTTTCTACGTGATGACCGACTGCGGCCAGCTGCTGGTCTGGGACATCCTTCAGAGTCTTCGCGCGCCGGTTTTCACGCTGAAGCTGTGCGACGAGAGGCTCACTGCCCTCGCGCCCTGCGAAGAGGGCGCTTTCCTCACCATCGGTAACTACGCCGGCAATGTGTTCCTCGTTGAACCGAACGAGTTCTTTCAGACGTTCGAAAGGAAGGACAGAACCGTGCTTTCGGAGGTAAGCGATTGGAAGAAAAGTCGCCTAATTCGGGGCAAGTCTGAAATATTACCGATTGCGTGTAACTAGTGAAGAATCAGGCACGTGTATTGGTTTCATTAATTAAGTCGCTGCGAGTCGATCAATTGAAACAAAAGTTCTTACGTTCTGTTCTATTTCGTCGTATCTTTTCAATGGTGAATAATTAGATATTTAAAACTGCAAATTCGCAAACTTTTATTATTGTGATTCTTCCAAATTCTTCTAGATTCTTTTATATCCTTGACATCTTAAAGTCTTGAGTGAAATTTAAAATAGTAGAACTTTTTTCATGAAATTTTTATACAAATATTATAATACATATGGGGAGATAATCTGACCCTAATATCTGTTTTAACTTTATTTGTTGTAAATATAAATAAAGATTGCATTCCTTCTTTTATTAGTTATCTTCTTTAATGAGACCGTGAAAATTATTTTTGTCGTTATTTCATTTTGAAGTGCAATCAAAATCACGTGGAATATTTACGATTTATTCGTTTAATTTAAAATAACGTTACTGCATTGTATCCCACATTTTTTTTTTTTAAATAAAAAAATATAATTACAATTGTAATCTTTATAAAAGATATTTATAAAACATCGTTCTATGAGATATAAGGACCCCATATTAAGGACGAGATAGCGTGTTTTTATTAATTTGATTAATAACGTTAGTTTTATTAATACTAATGGCAAAACGGATCTGTGTCACAACACAATCTGACACGTAATCAGTAGGCATAAAAAATTAAAAAAATTTCCCCATCTAGGCTGAATTTATGAGCTTCTAGAAAGTAGCCTCCACGTATTAGGCGATTTTTCTCCATGACGAATCCGTGAAATAACAGAGCGCCGTCTACGCTCTCAAATTTTATTACACTCTGGAAATTCGCCCTCCGTTTGTAAGCCAACTAAACTAACATTTCCATCTCGTTCCCCGCACGACGGGGATCAAATAGTTCTATATAGTATCCTGGAAGAACGACAGTCTTCTCGTCTGGTTCTCAGTATTTAGACAGATGCTCGAAGATGACGAAGGCAGTGGATCTGCGGTTGAAGGAGATCAAGCTGGCGCAGAGGATCGCGATCGAGGATCAGAATTCGGATCTGCGCGCCAAGGACAAATCCAGATGGTTGAAGTCGAAAGTGAGCAAGGTGCGCGAGTCGAAGATCGACAAAGAGCGGGAGAAAAGCACGCAGAAGGAGAGGAAGAAGATCCGAGACGATGTCGCGCACCTTTTGGAGATTGCCGAGAAGAAGTACTTCGAGGCGGTGCAACAAGTAATGAATAGCAACGAGAGATCGATACATCTCCATATACCTCACCCTATTTATATTTTCGAATTTCGACATTTTTTTCTTTCTTTCTTTTTCCACAAAAAGTGGCAAATAAAAACGTGACGATACTGCGCTAACGAGCAGAGGTGAAAAATCAAATTCGCTCGGATGAAATGAAATGAAGCTCGCCCGAGTTTCACTCGAAAGTTCGAAACCAGCACTACTCAGACAGAGATGGCAAAACAAACGAACATTCGCGCTGAATATTGGGATTGATCGCGCCCGAACGAGAGCGAATAACCACTCGAATACACGATCGGAAGAGACTTTAGATCAGATCAGACAATGAGTTTGTTTTCGTCTTCTTCGCTCAGGGTCTCGAGGCGTACGCGTTCGAAACCGATCCGGACGTGGTTCCGGTTCTGATGCCGACGGTGAGGAAAGTGGAGAGGAAGCCAAAGATATCGCGAGTAGTGGACGACGAGCTCGACGAGGAGGAGGAGAAGAGAGTCGTGGCGAGGCCTCGAAGGTCCACGCTAATAATCAGGAAGAGACCGAGAGCCCCGATGAAGTTATCGGTGCCACGTCCGGTGGAACTGGCGAGAGAGGACCGACTGTTGGATCTCGATCTGAAGGCGGACAAAGCGAAGAAGGTGAGGAAGAAGAAGCGCAAGGCATTGTTCGTGCTACCGCAGCCCTGCAAGCGAGAGATCTGCAAGCCGAAAGTCTGCTGCTGGCGACCTGGAGTGAAAGCAGAAAGGAAGAGGCGATCGAGAGGAGTGGAAAGATCGACTCTGGGCTCTGCTGTTTCTGTTCAACTGGCGGACAAATGGAGGCGTCGTGGTATGGAAAGCAAAGCGCTGAGGGAAATGCGAGCACCGCCCACGGTGTTCAGAGAGGAACTGCTCGAGGCCAAGGCAGAAATTCAAATGGCTAGAGAAAAGGCCAAGAAGTCTAGGCTTCGATTATCCGTGAAAGCTAGGTAAGATTTTCAACCCTTTCGCTGCTATAGTCGCCTACTGTTTCGCACCTTGTTCTACTACGCTTGGAATATTTTTCTAGTGTCATTTGATGCTTGGATTTCATTGTTTCCCACGCAAACTCATTTTATATGAGTCTCCCCAGTGCTCGTTAATTTATTTCAATAATTCGACATCGGACGTATTTTTGCCCGAAGCTTGGCCTCCTCTTTGTTACGCATAGCGTGCGATTTGAATTGCTGATTCGAGAAAAGCCTTCATTTGCACTTCCCTTTCGACGTCAGGGAAGGTCGAGAAAAGATCGATCTCGCGGAAGAAAGTTAATCGAAATTTCTTTCTCGTTTCCTTCGCCGACGAGTTCCGAAATTGCGGAATTCGGACGAGATCGCTCGTTTTTCTCCGCGTAACGGATTTCCATCCGAGTCACGCGGAAACTGTGCATAGCTCGAGTCATACTTCGAATCGCGAGCGCGGAGGAACGTTCGTCGAAATCGATAAAACTCTGATCTGTCTGTTCGCCCAGAGTTGCGAAGCGCCGACCTGAAAGGGCAAGAGTGACGAAGGGCGAACCAGAAGCGACCGGAGAGCAGGATCTTCGAATGACGGAGGAAGCGAAGAGAGAAAGGAAGAAAGTGAGAAAGGAGAAAGTGATACGGGACCCGTGCATCCCTCCACCGTCGAGCAACATCGTCGAGGAACTATGCCTGGCTATGTTTGGCACTGCCCCGTCGCAATTGTCGGAGGAAAGAGATTACTTGGGCAGAGATTACTTGCAGGAGATCGAACGCGCAAAGAGAAGAGTTTATCCGCGAATTTCGGAGTTCGGGCACATGGAGTGACAGTCTCTGCCACGAGACGTATTTGTATTCGAAAGTTCTCAATGGCGGCTCGGATCCCACCCCTCCCGTCATCTGATATTTGTAATTTTACGCCCAGTTTTACCGACCGTCGGTAAACTCGAGTTCTACAACAAATTTCGGTTCGACGAGGTTTTGCCTTAGAGGGATTAAGCGGCCCGCTCGTTAATACACCTTGTAATTTAAAGCGACGTTTCTTCCGTACGGTGCAATTTGTTTTGGGCGAAGCGTGGAAGCACGCCAACCGGGTTCCACAGCACAGCCAGATATTTATCGCGTTGCTGCGTTTTGTTCCTCGCGAGGATTTGAATTAAATTCCTCGCGATTTTCCTCGCCAGACCTCCTTGCCCCGCGATACGAACGCGAGGCGAGGAAAATCGGGAGAAATAATTTTTACTGCTCGATAGATACGAAATCTTCCCTCAAGGGAATTTTATATAGCTTAATGAAATATAGTTACGAGAGAGGAAATTTAGTTAGGTTCACGTATGTACATATTATAATTGTAAGAATTTCATATGCGTGCCAGTTTGCACGAAGCGAAATAAAATCGGCGAACGAATTCCCATGTCCGTGTGTCCTTGGAAATTTTCTCGATTGGTTTAGGTCGAAACAACCCTCGGCGAGCGAGCCAGCGAGTTCTTCGGGATCCGAGAGAACGAGATGGTGTTTTGCTTTATTTGCAGAGTTTCGTCGAAAACGGGAGGAAGAGCTACGAAGCTTCGTGAACGCTTTTGGAGATGGTCGCGTGATAAATTCGAAAAGGAAGATCTAACAATCCTGACCGGGGGTCAGTTCCGGCCAGTGCAATGCAAGAAGACATTTCCTGGCCTGGTCCGCGACCATGTCCAGGCCAACTTCCGGAACGCTGGCTGGCAACTTGCATACAAAGGCACTCAATGTCGGCGATAATGCACGATGAGAGGGACTTGAAGTCGGCTTTAACTTCTTAAAATCACTCGAGTGCTTTTGATTGCCATCTCGATCCAAATGCAGAAAGCCAAGGAAAATTCAAAACGTGGAACAGTTTCACTTCCACTTCGTTGGTCGCCTAAATAAAAAAAAAAAAAATCCCGTCCCGTTTTCCAAAGTTGCCGTTTTAATTGTCGCTTCTTCGCGAATCCGATTCATCTGAAAAAAAAA